TTGGACGATTCTCCGAGGAAATGGGCAAAGACGCATCTCACTTGGAATTTTCATCTGGCGAGCGAGAGCGTTTTACGAGTCACCGAAGTCGCGTTCGAAATGTGGGCTGCGAATTCATCGCTAACGTTCGAGCGCAATTCAACGAATCCCGATATCGTAATATCGTTTCGAAAAGGTTTTCACACGTTTGTGGATCCTCGGCATCGAGGTAGCTGAATATGTCCGTCGTTGTTAGACGGACCGGGAAACGTGTTAGCTCACGCTTTTTTACCGTCGTCAGAAGTGTCAGAGGTGCACATGGATAGCGCGGAGAAGTGGCACATCGAGTTAACTGTTAATCCTGACGATACGATTCATCTGTTGCATACGTTGACGCACGAGATCGGTCACGCATTAGGATTATATCACAGTCCTTTAAAAGATGCGATAATGTACGCTTTTGTTCCCTCTAAGACCTTTCCCGTGCGATTGAGCGAGGCAGATGTTCTCGCCATTCAGAATTTATACGGTTTAAGAAATAAGAGCGAAATTGCGGGACCAGTTACGACGACCGTAGCGACGACCACGATTGCGACGCGCGATACGGGGAATTCCGCGGATCTTTGCGCGTTGCGACGCGTTGATGCGGTATTAGTATTAGAAAATAGAATGTATGTGGCGTATCGACATTACTTATGGTCGGTCGATTTAAACGGAAAATCTTACGGTAGATCGTTGTTACTGACGGACTATTTGCGTTTTCTTCCCGATAATTTTACGCGTTTGGCGGGTGCGTATCGACGACCTTCGGGCCAACTCGTATTGTTTGTTGACAATACGGTTTATATGATAGAATATCCGAGTTTTGAGTTAGTACCGGGTTGGCTGAGGAAATTGAGAGATATGAATCTTCCTCCTAATGCGAAAATTAATGCTGTGATTAATACTAACGCGGGACGAACGTTCGCGATCTACAACGACGAGATCGTGGCCGAGATCGACGATTGCTCGATGATAGCCGTCAGGCATAATTCGTTGCACGCGATATTTCCTGGGATTCCACCTGCTGTAACGTCCGCCGTTCGAT